CATGTAATATAGATATATTTGTGGTTGTACAGCTTTGGAAAGTTCTTGAAATCAACCTCAAGAATTTACTAACAACTTTGAAAGTTATTTGATTTTAAACAAGTGATGTTAAATGGTTTTATTCATGAAGATTTCATTGTCCTCCTTTACAGCATTATCACTAAGTACTTCAAAAAGAAATGAGCTATTAGAATTTCTCCACAGTTGACTAGAAGCTTGATTTTATCAAATAGGTCAACAGGTATTATGTAGAAAGGCAATCATAACTCGGTGAAACCATACTGTTCAAAGAACCCGAATCCTAAAAAACGTCAATAAATTTTATTATTGTCTACCATACTATTTTATCGTGAATAGTAGAGTTTTTTTTTGAAAACGTGAAATCAAATTTTCGCCAACCTACTAAGGTTTCTCATCAGGTAACTTATAATCTGTTTTGTACAATATTAAAATTTTAGTGTCCAATCCTCAAAAAAATCAACTTGTCTGAAGAAATTCTTTTGGAAAAAGCTTTTTTCTAACTAGACAAAACAACTAAAAAATTATGTAACATACTTTTTAGATGACAGAAAACATAATGCAGGTTGACCGATCCAGAAAATGTTTTTAACAAAACATTTTCTAATCACCCCAAAGCAGTAGGTGGACAAAAAGTTTAATTCAAATTAAATTTCTATTTGTCACCAGTAGTAAACATTTTTTACTTAACTTTTATACCAAGTGCATTTAATAATTATTTGTTTGACAGTAGTTATAAATTTACTTTGTAATCCAATTTTACTTGACCTTCAAGGAGACATGTTTACACCTGTTTCAATTTCAGCCTAGTTCAGTGATCAAGTTTCAACAGATTGTTTACTTTGTTTCTATTTGAAAAATACATTAAACTGTTAGTATTTTTGATATTGATTACAAAATAGACATGTATAAAGAAAACAATATACTACTTTTTTTTATTCAGTCAACTAGTTAGTCAGTCAGTTAGTTACTTAGACATTAATCGAAACATAACTATTAACATAATTAATAATTTGTGATCTTTTCAAATGGCAATAATGACACAATAATTTGTATTTTAATAAAATAATCGTGCAATTATTCAAAATACAATAAAAGAAAAAGTAACCTTTTCAATAGGTTTACATTTATATTCATTGTACACATTAAATTATTTGTTTTGTTTTCTTAAAACAAAACTACTAAAAGGATGAAGAGAAAATGGAAAACTGAAAGCACATTTTACATATTGACAAAAGCTTTTAAAGATGGTATATACATCAGAGATGAATATAATAAAGTCTAAGTTTTGTAACTTATTATTTTTGGCAAGAGTTAGTTGAAATGATAATAGAAGAGGACCGTGAAAGACAAATAGTGAATCGCTTCAAACGGTTACTAACAGTTTATCATATTATTTTCGTATATATAAGTAATTCTTTATTCATAACTAATTTATATAAACCAATATTACATGGAAATATAAAAAAAAATCTGAGATTCTATCACGATATTTAAATTGAGTTTTACAAACAAATTAAATTAAATAAATGATAAAAATGATTGAAAGTTATGAAACTAACCCTTAAATAATCTAATGTCTGGTTTTTAAAATGGTGTGTTCTTAAAAAGAGTATGAAGAATGGCATAGTTAAGACTATAATGAGATTTATACACGCGATAGTTACGAGATATAGACGAAAAAGGAATGAAATGTGATATTTACATAAAAATTCTGGTAGTGTCACAAATTTAACGAATAATGAGATAAAAACAAGAGATAAATAAGAAGATATAATGTAATTGATTTTACGTAAGGAATAATATTTAATGAAAAAAACGATCGGTAACACAGACTTTTGCATTTCTCATCATAAGCCGAACTAAATGTTTTACAATCAAAATAAACGGGATAGAAGATTACAGTGTAATACTTTCACTTGCACTACCTCCTGAAGTTACTTACCTACGCCTGTTGCTCCTATTGGACCATTGACCACCAACAAGCATTTTCCAACCTACTCTATCCTACGCCTTCCTTTCCAGTTCTGTCCGATTGTTTCCCATTATTTTCATGTTCGTCTCCATTTCTCGGCGTAATTTGTTCTTTGGTCTTCCTCCTTTCCTTTGAACATGAGAGTCCCAAGTCAGAGATAGTCTTGTGACTCAGTTCGGTGCTTTCCTCTATGTGTGTCCTGTACATTTCCAGTGCTTCTTCCTCTACTGGCACCTGGTTTGTTCTCTCCCACAGTAGATTGCTGCTGATGGTATTTGCTCAACGAATCCAAAGTATTTTACGTAGACAACTGTTAATAAATATTTGTATCTTCTAGAAGATGGCTTTCGTGGTTCTCCAAGTTTCCCCCACATTCAGTAGAACTGTCTTGACATTTGCATTGGAAATTCTGACTTTAGTGTTAGTTGATGGATGTTTTGGGTTCTAGATGTTGTTCACTTGTAGAAATGCTGCCCGTGCTTTACTGATCCGCGCCTTCACATCTGCATCAGATCCACCTTGTTCGTCGATGATGCTACCCAGATATGTATAGGTTTTCACATCTTCCACAGCTTCTCCGTCAATTGTGATTTGGTTGACGCATGTTGTGTTGTATTAGAGACTCTTTCTTTTTCCCTTTTGTACGTTGAGATCTACTACCTCAGAGGCTGCTGCTACACTGGTCGTCTTCTCTTGCATTTGTTTTTGCGTGTGCGATAGGAGAGCCAGGTCATCTGTGAAGTCCAGATCGTCCATCTGAGTCCTAGCTGTCCAGTTGATACCGTGCTTCCATCCAGATGCTGGCGTCTTTATAATCCAGTCGATCACCAGGAGAAAGAGAGAGGGTGAGAGTAAACAACCTTGCCTCACACCGGTCTTCACCTTGAGAAAGTATTCTGTCAGCTGACCTTTACGCACGATTTTGCAGTTGAATCCATCATAAGAATTCCGTATGATGTTAACTATTTTCTCAGGCACACCGTAGTGTCGAAGAAGCCTCCACAGTGTTTTCCTATCCACGCTATCAAATGCTTTCTCGTAGTCGATGAAGTTGATGTAGAGTGGTGAGTTCCATTCAATTGATTGTTCCACAATGATCCGTAATGTAGCAATTTGGTCAGTACACGATCGATCCTTACGAAATCCAGCCTGTTGATCTCGAAGTTGGATGTCTACGAAGTCCTTCATTCTGTTTAACAATAGCCTGTTGAAGACTTTGTCTGGTATCGAAAGAAGAGTGATGCCTCTGTAGTTCTCACACTTTCTGAGATCGCCTTTCTTTGGTATTTTGATCAGGTATCCTTCTTTCCAATCTGTTGGTACCTGTTCCTCATCCCAAATCTTCTTGAAGAGGATGTAAAATATTTTCGCAGTTGCTTCCACATCTGCTTTCATTGCCTCTGCTGGAATGTTGTCTGGTCCTGCTGCTTTGCCGCTCTTGATTCGTCTGATGGCCATACTGATCTCTTCAATCGTAGGTGCGCCAACTTCAGTTGGGAGGTCCGTGGATGCTGCTTCGGTGTTGGGTGTGTTCAGTGGAGCTGGTCGATTCAATAGTTCCTTAAAGTACTCTACCCACCTATTTCGCTGTTCTTCAGTGTTTTTGATTACTTTGCATTCCTCGCTTTTCACTCGTCGTTCTGGTTAAGGATGGTTTCCGGCCAGCTTCTTTGTTGTTTCGTACAATTGTCTCAAGTTTCCGTCTCTTGCGGCCTTTTCCACCGTCATTGCTAGATCTTCTACATATTTTCGTTTGTCAGCTCTGATGCTCTTCTTCACTTGTCTGTTTGCTTCTGTGTGTGCAGCTTGTGCCTTAACTTTCTCTGCTCTGGTTCGGCTGACATTGATTGCTGCCTTCTTGTTCCCCCTTTCTTCAATTTTTGCAAGAGTACCAACTGATATCCGTTCCTTGTGATGGTACTTCTCGTGACCCAGAACTTCGTGACATGTTGAAGTGATTGCCTCCTCGATCCCTTTCCAATTGTTCTCCAATGTTGCTTCCTCTCCATTGAGTATATCGTGCAGGGCTTGGAACTTATTGGTGAGGGCTGGTTAGCCTTTTTTTAGCAATATGGTTTATATTTGGGATGTGGGCACCAACCCTATGCCCAACCCTCCTCCTTTATCCAGGGTTGGAACCGGCAGTAGCTTCGAAGATTCTACTGGCGGAGTTGAATGAATAAGAAAGGGTAGGAAAATTGTCACATTACCCTGGGCTTAAAGATTACCAGCGTAAATTCAAGCTTATGATAAATTGTTTCTGCACACATAAGGGAAGGTTTTTAATTTTCGAATAGCCAAGGCCTCCATAAACCTCGAAATTCGTCCTTTAACATGTCTATACAAGGTTTTGAAGGCTGACTTGATGTCAATCTTATTCCCTGTCTCAACTATGAGTTTCGCGATCGATGAACATGGTTTTGTATTCCTAACGCTAATCACCTTATGTCTATTTGAACTTTTATTTAATTTACCTTTTATTAATCTTCATATAAAATGCCTTGACAAGTAAATATATGTGACAAGGTTGTTCGAAATATATAGCGCAAATATATCACATTTTTCAGATCAATTACGTCTTCTTACTGTTCTATCAAAACAGTTAACCGTTGATACAAGCTTTTTCCACTGGTACCTGTAAACAAACATCGTTATCTTACTATTTTTATGATTATTATTAAGGGCAATAAATAAAGTAAGTGCAATTATTATTCATTTATTAGTTATGCTAACTGACTGTTATCATGTTTAGTCTCGAAAAAAACCGATTTCTTACTTACCGCTACTTATTCTATTTACTATTGGCCAGGAATAATATCAAATTAACCAATTATATTATTGGTAATTTATTGAGTTTCAAGCTATTTTTTCTAATAAATAGATGGAATTACACTTCATTCAAAATAATTTTTTATTACCAAACTATCCTTCTGGAAAAATCCTGGTCAGCACATTTCAACTGTGTTCACAAAAGATTAGTTATTTGTGTTGAAAATTTGTAACAAATATGAGCTTACAAAAAGATCCTAGTAAGTGAATTTACGCAATTGAATAGACTGCTTTTGTGAGATTTCTGACAATTATTTTTTGAATGGTAATATTTACAAATAGTTTATTTTTTCAAAATCATTTCACCATTAAGAATGCGCTTTATCTGAACAAATTTATAGAAGAATTGAAAACAAAATATATCTAAATGTAACAGAATATTTGCCTTAGAAACCAAATGACACTTTATCGAAAATCATTGATGAAAATATATTGAATGCTTAGATCAACAATAAATGTGAACAGATTCTTAGTACGTTGAGTTCAGAGGATTTTTTTCGTGAAGTGGTAGTTTTAAAACGCTGATATGATAGATTTTAAGTTTTAGATATTAGACAGATGATGTTTGGTAGCATATGCATTCATACCGGATCAATGCATATTGATTGATGAACACAAAACGGCTTTTTCAGAAATACATTAACCCCGTAAAGTTTTGTTAGTTGACAAAACATTTATTTTTTAATATTTCACTTATTGTTGCTAAGATGCCTGTAAAGATTATTTTATATATTTATTAACCAAAAAATGACTCTGTAAATATCATTTTAAAAAATAAATCAACTGAGTAAGAGTAGTCTAATAGTCATATGGCCACATTACTTCCATCAGAATTGAAGCTTACTGAATAACGTATGTGAACGATTTTGATACAAGCGATTATATGGATTAGGTTGTGGTGTGAGCTACTTATAAGTAGTATATGACGTGAGTGTCAACGTAATGTCTGGCAGCAGAAGATGGGGGAAGATCAAGAAAGGAAGAGTGGGAATACAATGGAATTTGTATGAAACGCATGAATAGTGATAATGGATTGATGTTTTGCAACAGGAACAGTCCAGTTCGATATGATGAACTGATATTTTGCAAATTAACGAGTTTCGATATGGTTTTCCAATTTTACTGAGTAACTCTGTAATTTTTGCTCAATACAATTCGGTTGCCCCACCTGCGTTCTCCTTCACTACAAGGTCGTTTCAGTTATCTCGAATAATACTTTTAATAGTGAGTGTACTGATGTGTCATCAATTTCTGATTGAAATATTCATTTTTTTCCAATAAATAACTGAAAAAATATATTGTGCATCACTATCATCATTAACTGATCGATAAACAGTAATTGTGATTAACACTGGAACTTTCAGTATCTTAGTGTTTTGAATGAGGTTTGGATAATGATAATTACTTACTAGGAAGTAAACAGTACTAAGTATTTGTAAAATGTTTCTTCGTTCATCTTATATTCTGTCGCTACAACAAATGAATGAAGAATTTCCATGATATCATAACTGATATAATAGAAGTTACGTATTTTTGTTATATGGCGATGAGCTGGTTGAAAATGAAAATTTGCAAAATTGAATTTTAACTTATTAACTGAGAGGTCACGCAAGATCTGAATAGCCTGAAATGAGTCATGCGGCTTACTGTACTTGGACTGTGATGAAACATCAATCCAATAGTTCACAGCTATCAATTACTCCCTTAGTTCATATCAATCTATGAAGGAAATCAATTTTGATTGTGTTGTTTTCTTTAAAAATTAATGGTGTGTACACTTTTAATGAATTTTAGCATCAAAAATCTTCTCTTTCACAGTTAAAATGCTCAGAATTCGTTGAAAGATTCATGTATGATAGTTTTGCACCATATTTTATTTGGTCTGAATAGGAAAATTTTGATATCTGCTAGAATTGGGTACAAGTGTGCGATAAAAAAAAATTAACTTTTCATTCAAAAATATATTATGAAAGTAATTAATTATGACTAATCTAGTTTTAGTGGGGCATGAACACAAAAAAGTTGCTTGAAGTCTCAGAGAATTTATAAGTCAGTTTATGAAATCTGCATATTCGTGGTGGGAAAGTAAACACTATAGAGTTGTAATTGAAGTACTTAACTGCATGATTCATAGTTGTTGAAATACATTGCTGATTTCTACTGAAATATTCTGTTATTTTATCAACTACTCATAAGACAAGTCTCATATGCACCTAAGGTACTGAAGTGACTTATAATCAGTGTAACTCCGTGATCCGGTTCAAGTTTTTTCAGTTTAACCTTAAGCGACATTTATTTCAATATAAATAACGATAATCTGCGGTAAACTACGGCAAGCGTGATGAGCTGAAGTAAAAACATGCTACGTCAAAAACGTAGCTTGGCTCAAACATACGTGTTAGATCAGGGCTGCACTATACTTTCAGTCTCGTTTGAAACATTTATTCCTGTAATCTGTAGTTATAAAGCCAATGTAAAAGAAAGAAATGATTTAGTTTTATCATAAATATTGCCTAGTTCTATCATCAGGTGCTTTTGATGCACTTATTCACTATGTTTGATCATGAACTAATTTGTTTAGTAAATTTAATTTGTTTTATAACTTCCTTCATGAACACTGGACTTAGTAGCTTTTCATTCTTTGACAAACTTAGCACTCAATAAATCACACTAGGCTTAAAAATATCTCATACGTTGGACTGTTTGAGCTACCTATAAGTATGCCTCAATGGTAGAAATGTAAACAAGATCGACTGACTACGGGTTTGATCTATAAATAAATAACCAGATTTTTAACATCGTTTTTTATCACTGTAATGGTTAATAGTTTTCACCCAGACATATCATTAACATTGCCATCAGTTGGGTATTATAAATTCAGAAGGAAATACTTAAAAATAAAAAAATCTGTCTGGTAATGCAAATATCTTGTTTTTTTTACTTTATTTAATTACAGACTTGTAGCCATATGTCAATTTGTTTGTTTACTTTGTCAGTGTTTAAAGATAACAGTTTCAAAGGAGTTTATTGGCAGCTAGGATAGTTTAGTGGTAACATATCGGGTTACAAAGTTGGATGATGAATGAGTCCCTTGAAGACTATAAATACAACATATTTACAGATTCTATAGCTATTGAGTACAGTCAATCACTTTATATAAAGCTAAATATCTAAAAATTGGTTCAGTAATAATAATAATAATAATCCGCTATATGTATTTAATTTTTTATTGTGATTAACAGTATTAATCTTCTTCCAGTGTTAGGAGATAAAAATGACCAGAAAAAAGGAACACCTGTAGTCACAAGTCAACCAGTACCTACAGTTCCATTGCAAGATCATCCAACAAGTTTGAAATGTCCAAATTGTCATCAAGAAGTTGTAACGCATATTAAATATCGCAATGGTTTGTTAACTTATGTAGCCTGTACAACTTTATGCATTTTCGGGTGAGTTACTATCACAGTTTGTATTTCTGCTTAAAATAACTTTTAACATTCACTTATTTGGAATAATTGTGTCTTAATTTAGAAAAACATGATTATTTATCTTAAAAAGATTATTAACTGGTAATAACCTTAAAACTACTTAAGCTTAGTAGGAATGATTTCTTAATGCTATGGTTTATATGGAAAAGTTAATTCTAAAATTTGGTTCATGATCTATGAAACGTTTTATATTAAATGTTTAAATATATTAGTAGGAATATCGTATCTTATCAGTCCCATGTAGTGGTTTTTGTATTGAACTATGAGTTAAATATTCGGTAGAGTCTAACAATACACTACTTGACAGTTTAAATATAACTCATTTAGTTGAGTCATTAAATGGAAATTGGTAAACTGTTTTGTTTGGTGATTATTTCACAAGAATCATAATTCAAACTTGTTTTAATCGTTAATAGTTAAGCATTTGTATGGTAAAGTCTTGTTAACTGACAATATGTCACTAAAAGTCAGTTAATAATGCCTCTTTGTTAGTATATTTGGGAGTACTTGATATCTCATAATTTTATAAATCAGATTTGTTCGTTGTGTGATCTGTTGCTACTTTTGACGATTATCTTATTAGTATATAACAACTCAAGGTCGTTCATAGTTAAAAGTACATCTTCACATGGACAATTCACCTTTTTCCACTTATTCCTCCCTGACTTACTTAATGTTGAGTTTTATTGTGTTGTGAATAGTTCACATTGATGTTAGAGTAGATTTCAGATAAATTGGATAGTGCAATGATCTTTGACTTTCTAATTAAGTTTGAGGATGTTTAATGTTAATCATTAGCAGTGACCGCCATCTAAAATTTGTTAAATTCTTTCTTATCATCATTGAAGTAGGTGCTTCTGATTACTTGTAATTTTGCATAGATTCATAGATTCTTTTATTGTTCATTATGTAAAGATATAAATATAATTTTATTCCTTTTAAAAATAATTCCATTCTGACTATGATTTCGTTTTATTATTCATTTGTAGCTAAACAAAGAATTTCTTTTTCAACAACAACAAAAACTAGAATTTGTTCACTAGGATTTAGGTGTCATAATTCAATAGCCTGCCAAAATAATGCACTGAATTTAGAGGAAATTAATAGGCAGTAGGTTAAACTCCTAAAGGGAAATTTTCCAGTCGAAAATTAGGCGAAAAGGCAGTCAGTAAATATATATATATTTAAGAGTACTCATAATTTCCTGATTTTCATTGTTTGCTTAAGATTAATGCTATTTATTTACAACTTTAATAGTTGTTCACATAGCATATCGAGAATAAGCATGATGAAAAGGTCAAACAGTAATTTACTTATCAGTATCTTTTTTCTCTGTGTGGTTGTCTGATTTATTGAGATAAAAAAAACAGTAGTATGTGAATTCTTGTTGTTAAATCTGAATTACGCAAGATAAGGGAAATGAATAAAACGCTAGGAAATCTGCCGTTTGATATGGGATGAAAATATGTTGATTAGTCACCTCTGAAATTATTTATGCCGTGTTCATACTTCACTTTACACTTACATCTAGCAGCTGGTCTATGAATAAACGGAGTGTAAATTACAACAATAAATTTTCCATGAATTCTTACCACAGTGAATGTTCTACATAAACTGTTGACTAAACAAACATGTTGTAGTCATATTTTGCAGAATGTTAGTTCTTTTAGTTACTTTATTAACATTAAGTGTAGTTCTATAGTTTTAATGTCATAAAAACTTATGACCCTTAAGTCACCACACCACCATATTGTCTAATTATGTACTTTTTAGTCTGGAGATCATATCGTAGCTCTCTATCTATTTTGTAACGCAACTTGTCGGACTGTAAATTTACTAGGTACAATAATGACATTAACAAATATGGTCGTCATATCACTAAATGTGATTTTATTTATCAAAATATCTTTGAGATATTTTTACAAACGACAAGGATGACAGTTACTGGTGTTCACTTCTGAATGATACTTGACTAATGGAAAGTAATGGACGGAGGAACTTATTTTACATGATAAAGGAAGCATGTAATATGCTGGTAGTCTTTAATTGTTCGAGATATTGTAATTTGATGTTTTGTGCTTGTTATATAGGATTTTTTAACTGAACTAAGCTTTACACTTGTTACACAATCGTTGACATATTTTAAGAAGACAATTAAAATAAAAGAAAGTATTGTAAACCAGTAATGAGTTGCTTGAAGTCGTATTCTTTTTTACTTATTTTTGAATTCCTTATGTCAAGTGAAGTATGAGTTTAATATATTTAAACACAGGTGATTGTATTCCATAAACAAATCATAAATCAATTTAGAGGTTAGATATTCGTGCACGAGATCATAGTTCCTGGATGCGATTCTTATCTGTGAGATTTTAGATATGCAGTTCTGAGGAGTCCCACACTAGAACGAAACGGCTTTCTAGGTTTTGATAGTAGTCTAACTTAGATCGCTTCATGATCTCTATAAAATATAGTTTTTAGTGGCGAGATAACAAAGAAACAGTGAGTATGTTAGTAGATGATTACATTGTATACATGGCCGATGATCATCGGAGTGAGTATATTACATTTCGAAATGTAGTAAATACAATGGTTATTTCCAAATTCATACGCCTATACGACATGCTATCATAATATCAACTTGAAGATGTTCTTTGTTTGAAATCAGAGAGTTACACCTGAAAAAAATCCATCCATTAGTTACGATAATGCGTGGTGGACAGTAATATATTTCTTAGTCACTTATTTGTAGGAAATTGTCTTATCGATTATGTTTATTTGTAGGTATTATTTACATTAAGCAATTGTGGGATTTACAACAGATCATGGTTTATGTCTGGCTGAGTAAAATTTTATATGAATCATGAACTCCATAATTTAATTCCGATGTTAACATTTTAATTCTTCTTCGTTGGTCATAAAATTATTCCGCACTGATTCTTTATAATTCCAAATGATGTTTTCTAGGGTTAAATATAATTCTATGGGTTTCTACTTCAAATAGTAAGCGTTTCAGTGTGACAAAAATCTGTAGACCATTCCTCGTTTTTATACTAACTATGTAATCACGAATGAAACGTCTCTATAATAAAACGATGAGCTAAGAATACAGCTTAATTTAATAATTTGATAATTATTGGTTACTGATATTATTTCAGTAATTGGTCTGTGGAACATAAAATAATGTACAGTAGGATAACTGAATTTTTACATAATCATTGTTAATTTTCAGTAAGTTGACAAGTAATCTATGAAAGAAGAAAGTAAATCGAAACTAAATTTGCGGCAAACGATGTAGAGTGATTGAACTTTCAATCAGTTAAATCATTTATGTATTTGTATTTAGACGACCGTGTATTTACCTGTGTTTTTACAAAGTTTAATTTACGTAGAAACAAGTAAATTAGCACTTCATTATAATTATTACTGTTTAATACTGAAATACACGGTGTTGGTTTTACTTAACTTGAAACTGACTAGGGTAATGATGATTCTGATGAAATATCTGGTTATAATATTGATAATATTGAAACTGTCATTATACTAGTTGATATCAATCTATACTTTAATATGTTTCATATAAAGAATTGAAGATAAAAAAAATTTTGGTAATATTGTTTAATTTACAAACACTAACACTATCAAATCTTCACTCTTATTTATGTAAACGATCAGATGAAAATTCTGCTTGTATTGCTACAATCGCTGTCGACAGTATGTGTAACATGATGTAGATTTTACTGTGATAATAAGTGATCGTTTCTAGTTGAAGAAGTATTCATTTTCGAAAAGCAGGTAAGTTAAAAAATGGTTTTAGTCATTACATTACAGAATGTTGAGTTAATGGAATAAACACTATGTTGTTAAATTTCACAATGTTTGTAAAAAATACAAAACAATTTCATTCATCGGTATAACATTAAATGAAACTATATAACAGAATTTCGCCATGTTAAAGTCGGTAATATCAATGAGATCAAACTAAAAAACATATTCAATGTTAAACGTTTTCGTTGCGTATTTCTACACGGTTACAATGAGAACAATATTCAAACGAAATAATTTAGTTAGCATATCAGTCATCTGACGATAATAATGATAATCTTTCATTTTGAATGTTTATTTCATTTTTTAAAGGTGCTTCTGTGGCTGTTGCCTTATACCATTTTGTGTAAAAGTATGTAAAGATGTTGATCACAAATGTCCGGAATGCGATTGTCACATTGGAACATATCACACATTACAAGAAAAATTTGTGAAATGATCTCGAATTGCAAATAAATTGCAATAATTACTTTTGTATTATCTGGGTGAATTAGTAAATTTCTTTGTTAAATTTTTCTAACAAATATATTTATCATCTATATACGGACGACTGAATTCCTCCAGTCAAACTGACTTATGTTTGTCACTCATTGATACTGATCTTTAGTGACATGGATTCTACATTTATGATCGACTATCACTAACCACTTCACTTATTGATCCACCAACATTATCAAGTATTCGTTTCCTAACAACAGCATTGCTTACTCGATTGTCCCAGGATATTCGAGCACTGCTACGAAAAACACCTATGATGGAACACCAGTAACCTACGAATATCCTCTACTCTTACTGTCCATGTTTCACACCCGTAAAGTAGAATGAGGCGAACTGCTGTGAAGTAGACTCGTTCTATGATTAGTAGACGAATATATCGCCTACGCTATGAGTTACGCGAGTTGGCAAAAGTCAATCGAGCCTTCTGTATCCGTGCTGAGATTTCTTCACAAACCAAGCCACCAGCGCTGATGTGACCCTAACGATTAGTGAAGCAGTGAAGTGAAGTGACGAACATCGTTTAAAGTTATCAATGCTTATTAGAGTTCGCCATTAGAGAGAGCGGAAACCTGTACAAATTAAAAATAATTCCTCAGAAAATATTATTATCTTCGCAATTTGAAATTCGGGTAGTTTATTCGGAGAGTTGTTCGCAGATACAATGATGAATGCAGTGAACAAAGTAATCTTAGATGGACTATTGACTGTGCTCAGTCAGTTTGTAGTGTGTTGGTTTACTGCGTGTTCTTAAGCTCGGTTTATAAATCAGAACATGAACTCGTAGTGATGAATACGTTTATTCGGGACACACCACAAAGTGAAGTGGAGAAGCAGTGAATAAAACGAATGGGCGAAGCGAATTGGAGAATGCTAAGAGCCAGCTCAAAGAAACAGAGCATGACTAAGAATATATAGTCAAACAAAAATGAGACAGATATATGACAAGCGAAATAGGCATGCACACACATGAATAAAAGCGACTAATGATTGACAAGGTCAAAAGCAAGCGATACAAATCATGTGAGTTCCTGGGGATATTAAGAGATTAACATTAAAGCGAAAAGGATGAGTCGCGCGTAGGCTTAAGCAATGCTCAGTCGTACAAGCTCATACAAACCAGATAATAAAAGTCCCAAAGGTACATATGAGTTGTTGCTATACAAATGGCTTGGTTAAATAAATTAATCGAAAGGACTTAACCAAGTTAGATGTAAGCGAACTGGAATATATGTGGAGGCACTACAAGTTAATGCGAAATGACTAATCTAGCAGTCAGTCAGTCAGTCAGTTGCAACGTAGAACTTCGTACGTAAGTACATCAGTTCATGTCGCCATACCACATCAGCACAGAGAAGCAATCGTCAATTCAAATCCAATAGTAGAAGAGGTAGTAAGGGAATTAGAAGTAATCGGAGAGGTTAGGATTAGAAGCTACTATTCAAGAAGTATGATTCAGTGAGAAAAGTTTAGAGAGTCGGAACTAGAGGTGTTGAAGAATCCAGAAGATTAGGATTTGAGAGAACACAAAGAATAAATGCACCGGCGCCATTGCGAACGATTTTGAGCCATGTCATTCAAGGTCTCTAACCATCGATTATTATCATCTCGCGGACCCCAACCAGGTAGTCGACAATTACCAACATTGCTCAGTCCACTTGTGAATGACTTCATGGATTTCTGCCATGTTTTGGTTTGGCCGCCCTTAACTTTCTTCCAACCTATTCCTACACTACAAAACAAAGCTCGACGAGGCAGTCGGTGGTTCGGTATACGCAACACATGTCACAACCACCTCAACTGGTAAAGTTTCAATACTTCATCGATTGATCTGCCATCCTCACCTAGCACCCGATTCCTAATAACAGCGTTGCTTACTAAGGTGTCCCACGAAATACTACGAGCAATGCTTCGAAGACACCTATGATCGAAAACCAGTAACCCACGAATATCTTCTACTCTCACTGGCCATGTTTCACAGCCATAAAGTAAGACGGAGCTAACCACTGCACAGTACACTCGTCCTTTAGTCAGCAAACGGATATCTCGCCTACGTCATAAGTGACGCAGGTTGGCAAAAGCTAATCGAGCCTTCTGTATCCGTGCTGAGATTTCGTCAGTCACCAGGCCATCGGCACTGATGAGACTCCCAAGATAAGTGAAGCGGTTTACACGTTCGACTACTTCACTCCCTATCACTAGTTCAGGTGCCGATGAAACCCAGTCTTGAAGCAACATTTTGCATTTCGAGGGGGAGAACCGCATCCCGAACATGCTTGCATTGTTGCTTAGAGTGGTCAGAAGACTCTGCATTTTGTCAGCGTCTTCACCAAGTAGGACAATGTCATCGGCATATTCTAAGTCAATAAGCGAGCCACCTGGTAGAAGGTCTACTCCTGAAAATTCAGATGAGGATAAGGTTATTTCTAGGAGCATGTCTATGATAAAATTAAACAAAAATGGAGAAAGTGGACATCCCTGACGGACACCACTTGAAGTAAAGAATTCCGGTGACAGTTCGCCATAAGCTCTCACTCGACCAGTGGTGTACGAGCAGAGAGCTTGTATGAGGTTAATGTACTTCTTTGGTACACCATCGGTGGCTGATGGAGATGTGATCTAAATGAGTCCAACGTTGAGACGACTTTGGAGGTCGCCAGGTCAACAGATGCTTTTCCTTATGCCTAAAGTTAGTGTTTGCTAGGAATAGGCGGTTGTCTGAGCATAGTTGCAACAGACGGTCACCATTGTCTGTTCTCTGAGCCGCGACACCATAACATCCACCTAGGTGTCTCTCATTTTCACTCAGTCTACCTACTTGAGCATTAAAGTCACCAGCCATTATTACTATATCAGAGCGCCTAGCTTTTTGGAGGAGGTTCGAAAGCTTTCTGTGAAACTCATCCTTAACCTCGTCTGAACTGCAGTCAGTTGGGGCATAGGCAGATACGATGAAGAGGCGACGGCGAGTGTCCCTATCTTTCCGAGTCCTTACTGTCCCGTTGAGTCGGACAGCGCACAAGCGACTATCTACTGGGATCCAGTCAATGAGAGATTGTTCAGCTCTACGACTCAATGCTATACCTACGCCAGCAAGACCCCTGGAAGCAGCATCAGGGCTACCGGATACACGAAGAGTAAATATAGCTGCTTCTTTATTTTGACAAGGTGAAATCAGATTAATTATTTTACTAGTATCCTGTATGCGCGTTTCCGAGACGCAGCATACATCGATGGCACGAGATCCTAATGATGCCTGTTGCCCTATTTGGCACAATGTCCGTACATTAAATGCTCCAACATGTAGTCTAGAGCGGGGTTTAAGGAGACCAGGAACGACTTTTCACGAACTGGTGTCGTCTGCATTAGCTGTGCACTGTGATAAATGTATGTGGGAAGAGTTAGTCTTGGAGAGAAGAGAGGTACTAAGGGGTGTAGGAAGGATTTGATTTTGACCAATTCGGTCTCGCGTGCTGTTACGGGTATGACGGCGGTTGTCACTTCCCGGCTGCCCACACCGTGGAAGGTTGTTTCTTGAAGAACCTAAAAAGGAAAATAGATTAGTGTTGGTCTTAGAGACCTGGGTGCGTGATCGCAGAGCCCAAGAGACAACTGCTTGAGGCCGGTCACGCACGGCCTTTTTATGAAACGTTTTTTGAGGATTAGCTCCGTTCTTAAAGGTCCTTAGTGGTCACCCTTACCCAAGGAGACGGAAATCCGTGAGGTAGGGGAGGTGTGACATTTTTAGGGCCGACCTTTTCTAACCCTTCCTTCCTTGTGAGAAGGCAGCATCGCTGCAGATGCTGGTTGTCCGAGAGAAACACCTTACTGCTGTCACACCCCTCTGCAGTCAGCAGTACGACTTCGCCCTCAGACCTTGGATAGCTGCTTTTAGTCTCATCGTTCTCCGATCGACCTGCATGGCATGGTAGGACCTGCAGGAACATATGTTCCAGCCAGTATAGCTCGGTTGGGTCATCACGATAGGCATCTGCGGTCGGGGACTAATCTAGCACTATACTTTGTAGAATGGTTTTCATCAACCTGATTCTGTAACCAATAGAAAAATGGATTTTCGTTTGCTGCATGAAGTAATTTTAAACGAATATATCCATACATTTGCAGTTGCGTTGTATGATAAGTGATATCCATAGGTTATTCACCAATAAATACAAATCCTAAATATGATTTATACGAAATTCAGTCTGAAAATTGGTCAAACGATAGTACTTGGTGGAACCGTAAAGCCTTATATATGCGCTTATCTTGACGAAACTGAATAGACAGCTAAAATGTTCACACATAATCTGATAAATCAGTTAACAGACTTCTGAATGTGATCACCTGCAAACAGCTATCAGTTATCTGAGAGAAACTTATATTTCCTAATCAATAGGGAATGTAGTTAGTACGGAATCTTGGACAACTTGATTAGATTTGAATTCCATTTCGTTTAGTTCCGAACGTTCTGATTCAAGAATGCAGGATATAAAATCTAAATAATTTATTTGTTTCATTATAATATTTGGCGAATTTATTACGGAACATACGAAGTGCAATTGTTCGTCGCGTCACGATTCAAGGTATTATGTTGTTAGGCGGGTTATACGTTCATATAAGTTTGGTACCGGCCTTCATGAAAATAAATGTTTAACAATAGACATCGCATATGCCACTCTATTTAAAAATATCTATTGAAGTTTTATGGATGAGTTATGTGCATCTCAGTCCGGTAAATTCATCACATCAAATCTTGTATATAAAAAGTGATAAAGCCGTAATTAATTATTGTTCATCAATAACCATGTGCTTTTCACATCGATGTGTATGGTCAAGAAGTGAAGCTTGTAATCTACAAAGTAAACAGGTTTTCGTGTGTAACAAAATGCATTTAACAGTTTAAACCAAAATCGGAATGAGTTCACAGATAAAGTTTCTTTAACG